GTCTCCGTCAATACCAAGATATCACAGCCATTTGTTTTTATAAAACAATGTAGTTCGTCCAACTTATTACGCAAACTTTGCATATTAACATAGCAAATGTGAAGTTTGTTTGCCAGTCTAAGAACTAGTTTTTTAGGTCATCTTCGTCATTAATCAGGTTAACTTACTAAACATAACTTTGCTACCATCTACGTTTTACTATTAGACTACTTTTTGATGTAAATTAATTGGAGCTAATGGCTAATGTTACTACTAATAAAGAGTTGGAATGGTACCACCTAATATTCTTACCAGTTTTGGTCAAACCATGCATCTCAGTATAGGCATATTAATAATTACTTCTGTCAGTTTAGAATGCTATTTTTCGGAAAATGCTCATCAATAAATAATAAGTCAGGGTACCTTTGGAAGCGGAATTAAACGCCAATCAAAATGATGTGCCACTTGACCCCCTTTCCCATTTAAAATTCTAACGGTAACAGCTAGGGGGTTGAACCGCCAGGGCTACAAATATTCCTTGCAAGTGTCCCCCATGACAATAAAATTGACCTGTTTTTTCGATTCCTCATATCGTTTACTGGAAGTAAGGTATTTTAGGGTGGGAAGTTTTCAAATTGACACCCTGTATATGTTTATCGTATGATACGTAACCCGAGAATACCTACCTGGTAGGTATTATCGGACGTAACAGACATAAGTTTGTTTTTCCTCAAGATATAATTGAAAACTTCTAACTTATAACTCACAATTTTTAACTGTACCTTTTTCCTCAAGTTTGTAATGGTATATACAGGGTGTTATTTAAGTATGCACCATAAATTTAACAGACGATTCTTTAGGTAATTTTAAAGCATGGGTCCGCAAATCCTTGGTTCTCAAGATATAGGGTGTTCAAAAAAAAAGTTATTCGTAAATATCTTAAATATCCTTTACCTAATTTTCTTGTAATTTGGCAATGGCATTTATAACATTGAGGAGCTAATTTAGCCCGAACGTGATTCAATTTTTTTCAAGTCCAGTGGCGTCTCGAGCGGGATTTAAACGAATATTTTTTACTTAAAAATGTACGCCACTGACCTGTGTGCAATTTTTATTATTTCTTTGAATTAAGCAATTAGAAATACAACTTTTTTGTCTCTTGAATTTTTTTCGTATCTTGTTTAGTTTTTAAGAAAAAAAAGTCGATCTAATTGCATATCCCCGGACCTCACAAGGAATAATATGGGGAATTAAATATTTCTTTTGGAAATTATTATTTTTACAATTTTTCATTACTAATTATGTAACAATAACAACAAATATTAAATAACATTAACATCTAGACTAACGAATCGTTTAGACCA